AGCTTAATAAATACAGATTAATTTCCATACCATATTGTTTATATATTTATTAACCAATTAATATAAATTTGTGATTTAGTAGTTTTGCGAAATTTGATCCGCAAACTATAAAAGTCGAAATAAAACTATTTCTATTTAAAAGTAATATATTTACTCGTTTGTTATCAAACAGTTGTTATCAAAAGATTAACTTTAATAAAAATTAATTTTGTAAACTCCTTAAATTGTTTAAATACTATTTAATCATTGTATTCAACCCTTTATTATTTCTAATGTTATCCATTTTTGAAAGATATATTCTAGGAAAATAATTTTACGAAAATTCTTTATATTCCTTAACATTGGAAAAATAAAACAAAAATATAACGATAACTAAATCGCTGAATATAAATGTCATTTTATTCTCTCTCTCTCTCTCTCTCTCTCTCTCTCTCTCTCGACTTTCTTTTGTCTAATTAAAATTTTTACAATTAAATATTGTTTCTCTATTATTGAATATTTATTTCCAATAAAACAAGAAAACACTTAATATTATTAAATTAGATATTCTTACGATTGAAATAAACATCAAAACATTTGTTGCAAAACATGGATATGTCAAGTATTATAAAAAGATCTGTTAATTTTGATTGTATTTTTAATTTATTGGACAACAAAAGCGCCCAAAACTTTGGATATGATTTTGTCACAAAAGGCAACTTTACATTTACATGGCTTCTGGCCGTCAGTTGATATGACTATCCTTTCATATTATAATATAAATAATATTTATAACAATGCAATCTTAACAGATGGACAACATTGAAGAGCCGCGAGTTCTCGCCGCCAATCACTTCTTCCTCATCAAAGAATTGGTCAAAAGAACTCAATTCAGGTATGAATTAATCATTCATTTGAAATAATTGTTGAAATAACTGAATTTTGTGTCAAAAGCGCGATTCCCGTTGAAATCAATCACAAGAGGCTTCTGAATAACACTTTTCATCCCGTTTTACAATATATTTCAACAAAAGTAAAAATTCTATAAAAAAAAGTTTTGAATTATTTGAAAAATTCCTTTTGATAGGAAGTGGACATAAGTTTGGATACTTTTCCTATGGACGAAGCGTTTGTGCCATTGTTTGACACTTTTAACTCAGAAGTGAATCCAATGTTTGCTATTTTGGGAGGAATTTATCCAATTCTCAAAGCGAACTCCTATTTCGGAATTAAAAACATTTTTTACATTGAAGTTTGAATCTATTTTAGGACCTCTTTCCTATTCAACTAATTATTTTAAATTTTTAGATTTGGGTTTTATTATTCTTCACATCTATTATCACAACTTTGTTCTTAACTTTCATTCTTCTCATGTTTTCAAACGATTTGTAAGTTATGTCAAAAAAATGACAAATAATTAATTTTTCATTTCAGACATGAATTAAATGAAAAGAAATTCAAAATATTTGGAAACCAATTATGGATTAACTTCAACGCAATGTTCACTCAATGTCTAATATTTTCGTACAATTTCTAAGTTTTTAGATTTTTAATTCTCATTTCTCTTTCAAATAGCTTTCAAATTCACGCATTTATCGCTCCATTCCTATGGTTTTGTGATTAGTGTTCTCCTATTTTTTAAAGTCATAATTTTAATACTATTTTCGTCACAAATTCTTTACATAACAATTGAAAACCCATATTCTGTGATCGATTCCGTCGAACAATTGGATCGCAGACCAGATTTAGAGCCTATTTTATTTATTCCCGAAGCGGATATCATTAGTTTTAAGGTTTCGTAACATATATTTGATGCAAACTAACAGTGCTTTTCTATACAGAGTGACAAACGACTGAATTATTCGGTGAATGTTCGGAAAAGTTTAAAACAAAATTACGATTTCGCCGACTTTTTTGAATACTTGAATGAACACATCTCTGAGATCGGCGTTTCATTAACTCACGTTTTGTTGGCCTCAAAGGCAGACCTCGAAAGCATAGTTTATTTAAATGAAGCAAAATATTCAAAAATTACACATTTGTCGCGCCAACGATACTTTGATCGCGTGAACGCTTATGTTGTTAACAAAAATCTCGACAAATATCTAATAAATACATTTAAACAAATGTAAAAATAATTTATGCAAAAAATCTCAACAAATATTAATGAAATGTTTGTCAGTCTTTCTGATTGCAGAGAAACGGGTCTCATTGTAACGTGGATTCAGTGGGGGCTCAAACAGGCGTATGAGGTGTATGTCGACAAAACAGCAAACTTTCACATTTCACAAACAGAGAGTTTCATGAATTTGGATGCATTAAAGATAGCTTTCGGCCCTTTTATTGTCGGAATTCTTTGTGCCATTTGTTGTCTCTTTTACGAGAATTTCTATTTCGAGGAAAACAATGATTTTAAACGCAGGAAAAAAGTTTTTAAATTAGAAAAACAGAAATATGTTATAATTAAAAGATCAATAATTATGCAAAATATTTACCATTGAAAGTGTATTATGCAATCATAATTAAACTAATTCTCTGCTTTCATTTGAATTGATTTTATTCAAATATTGATAATCTATATAAATATAATGTATTATTCAAATCAAATTAATTAACAAATTAAATAATAAAAATATGCACTAATAAAAAGAGAGCCAAATTAAGAGTAGAAATAATTAAAAACATTTAAAAAAAAGTCTAGAAATGGAAGACTTTGTACCAAAAAATGCCAATTTTGAGTGTAAATTTGGTTTATTAGATGACAAAACTCCGCAAACATTTGGTTACTTATTTTCACCGAAAGGCAACTTTACATTCACTTGGATTCTGGCGGTGAGTGAACACACATTCAATACCATTAATAATAAGTTGTGTCAATAGTTGGATAACATAGACCTTAAGACGTTGTGTTCGGTGCACTTCCTTTGGGTCAAAGAAATGGTCAGAAGAACACAATTCGGGTATTTTTTGATCACTCTTATCATCTAAATTAATACATATTTCATTAGTGCGATTGCGGTTCCCATAAATCACACCAGATTTCTAACGTTTCCCGGAATTGACGATAATTTTCACCCAATTCTCAATTATATTCATTCAGAGGTAGAGTTTATTTAAGTTCTGTTTCTCTTTTAACCCTTTCTTCAATAGGAAGTCGATCTAAGCGTCGATCCATTTCCTTTGAATCCATTATTTGCTCCCTTTTTAAACATATTTTATTCACAAATTGACTCAACGCTCGCAATAATGGGAGGAATTTATCCAAATTCAAAATCAAATCCATTTTTCGGAATTTTTCGTATTTTTGATTCAAATGTAAATATTGTATTCAATTTTTCCATAGAAACAAAAGTATAATATCTGAATATATTATGGAATTTTTGCAGATAATTTATTACACATTAATAATGTGACATTATATTTATTAAAACACAATTAATTAATTGTTTAGATTTGGCTTTTGATTTTATTGACCATATTTATGACTACTTTTGCTCTCTTTGTGTCCTCACAAAAACTGTAAGTATTTTTGAACGTAAATATAAATAAGAAAATAAAATATTTCTTTCAGACACAAAGAGATCAAAATATCAAAAGTTTTCGGACAATTTTGGATTGTTTTTAACGCAATGTTTATTCAAAGTTGTATTTATTAAATTAGAAAACTTACTCAATATTTAATTAATTTTTTAAATAGCGTTCAGATTTAGCCACTTATCAATAAATTCTTACCGTCTGGTGATTTGTATTCTCCTATTCTTTAAAGTTTTTACTTTAATTCTGTTTTCGTCACAAATTCTTTGCATAACAATTGAAAACCCATTTTCTGTCATCGATTCCATCGATGAATTGGATCAAAGACCAGATCTAATACCCATTGTATTCGTTCCCGAAGCAGATAAAGACGACCTTAAGGTTCATTTCTCATTCACATACTGTTAATAAAGTGTTTGTTTGTATTCAGAGCGACAGCCAATTGGCGTTTTCAATGAAGAATGTGAAGGAAGAGAATTATTTGGAATACGATTACCAGAAATTGTTTGAAGACATAAATCCTTTGATTAAGAATATCTCGGTTTTGAAAACACACGTATTGTTGGCCCCAAAGAATTCAATTGAGTCGACGATCGCTTTAAACAAAGAGAGATACGAGAAAATCACTCATTTATCCAAAACTCGTTACAAACCAAGAATTTCTGGGTTTTTAATGAATAAAAAAGTTGATAAATTCATTGCAAATACGTTCGAAAAGCTGTGAGTTTTGTTCACTATTTGATTGATTAATTGACAAACAGTTGGTTTCAGTCTCTATGACACCAAAGAAACGGGTCTTTCGGAGAAATGGTCGCAATCGGGTCTTCAACAGGCGTTCAACACATTCGGCGATAAATCGTTTGAATATGAACTCAAAGGAAAACAATTGTTCATGATTTTGGACGAAATGCGAATTGCCCTTGGTCCTTTTCTCACAGGCATTTGTCTCGCATTTTGTGTTTTATTTTTTGAAAATATAAATATTTCAAAAAATAAACGCAAAGAAGAGACAAAATTCGAGAAAATGTGTGTAAAAAGAAAAATGAATTCCGAAATCAATAATTCGTTAATTTATTTGAAATATCCTTACATTTAATGAATAAAAATGCAATTTTCAACGCAAACATTGTTTTCACAACTCATCCAAAGTTTGTCTAATTTTGTGCCAATTTTTCATTTTCATCAAACATTTTAACGCATATTTCGAGACAAAAGTCTTGACCTTTGGGTCAAAAGGGAAACAAAAGTGTTTAAACGGCAAACTATAAGAANTCCAGAATCTGGTTCTCAAACACGACGTTATTAAAGACGTTGAAAATACTTGCATTCAAATAGTATTGCATTTGTTTTTCGTCACTCTTTTTGACGACAATCGGAGACACGAAAGAGAAGGCAGACTCACAGACATAGCGTCCGGGCTCTGCCATCACCACCACGTGATCCGACGGGAAATACTTCTCCAAACTCTCGTTAATGGTTTCGCAAATCTCTTCGAAACTGGTTTTGCATTCCTTTCCGGGAAATCCTCCGCCGATGTCCAGTAATCGCATATTGAATCCCAAACTCAGCGCCAAATCAAACGCCTTTCGCGACAACTCTATCGCTTCGGCGAACGATTCACTCCTTTGACAACCGGTGCCGACATGAAAGGCCACTCCTATCACATCCAGAGACCACTCTCTGGCCGTTCGCAGCAATTCCTCCACTTCTTCTATTTCCGCTCCGAATTTGAGACTCAACCGAATGGCAGACTCTTTGTCGTCGACTTTGAGTCTCAACACAAGTCTCGCGTTTGGAAACAATTTCCGTATTTTCCGCAATTCCTCGCAATTATCGAAAGTCATTAAATCGGTTCCCATTCTCAGCGCGTATTCAATAACGGAATCACTTTTACACGGATTCGCGAAAATTATTTCTTCACTTTTGGCGCCGTTTTTCAACGCATTCTCGATTTCCAACTGAAATAAAAACACAATTAAAACAATGTATTAGTGAACGTGTTTTCATACTCTGGACGCGCAGTCGAAGCCAAAGCCCAGACCAATGAGAATATCCAATAGAAGCGGAAAATCATTGCATTTCAAGGCATAAAAGGGTTGAACGCGAGGCAAGAGTTGACGCCATTTCTCGTGCTTTCGGATCACGTCTTCGGCGGAGAAGACGTAAAACGACTTTTCGCCAGAAATCAAGTTTCGGATAAAAGTCTCCAGAATTCCAGACATCCTTCAAAATGAATAACAAATATTTGAAACTCTTTTCGAAACACATTTCAATTTATTCTCTGACGTCATGAAAGAAAATACAATTAATTATTTGAAAACACGTGATATTTGGGAAGAGAAATGCCGTTAAACGAGTGCTTTGCCGGCGAATAGCAATGACTTCCCATTCCTTCCCACAGAACCCATTCCCCGACAAACAGTTCCGGCATTTCTATGGACCGCAACACACAGTCAGAGCTGTCACAAGTCGGGCCCCAAACGATGCTCTCATGGACTGGTCGTCGGCGCCAATCAGTGATGAGGAGGAAGTTGGGCTCCGGATGTCTGTCAGAGACGTAAACGTCGCGAAAAGAGCCGAATATTCCGTCGTTTAAATAGTAGTGAATATTTTGTGCGGTTTTTCTTTTGGCAATGATTTTGGTGAACAAAACAAAAGCATATTCTGTATAAAAACGACTCATTTCTGCGATAATTGTTGTGTTTTTGAAATCCCTTTCAATGTTTTCGTTAATAATGTGCGAAATGTATTCAATTCGCGCGAAATCCCCGCAAATGTCCAAAACCTTCATTTCTAGTCCCGCTTTGAATCCCAAATCGAACGCCATTTTGGCCGCAATTAAAGCCATTTCTAACTGCAAAGCATTGTTAGCGCGAATCGAAACTCCGATTACTT